GCAGATTAGAGGCTTCAAATTCTTTAATAGAAGAGCACTGACAATCCAACTTAGCCAACCAATCCGCACAAGCATTTCCTTCACAAAAAATATGGGCCATAGTATAATTCAGATCATCAAGCAGCAATTTAACTTTACGAATAATATAGAAAAGCTCTGGATAACCCAAATTCTCCTTTTGAATAATCTGTATTAAGCTTAAGGCATCTACCTCTATAGCCATATTTTGAATACCTTTCTATGACACAGTTCAAGACCAAAGGACAAATCCATAAGCTCAGCACAAATGACCTTACAATGATTTAAAGGCGTAAATAAGCAATAATAACATCACCTTGAAGGTTACGAATTATACCACCCATACCTGCAGCATTAACAACCACTGACCCATCAGAATTAAGCTTAAAAAAGGGTGAATTGGGTTTCAACCATCTCACAATTCTGTCAACAACAATATAGGAAGTAGAATTCATAGAAATACCCAAATGCAAAGCCAAACCAGCAACATTTTTAAAAAATTTTGTCGAGATCATGTTAGTGGCATGAAGATGTAAAATTTTGAACTTAACATAATTATATTTAAAGCATCCATCTTTATGTTATTATGCTTAGCTTCATTCCTAGCTCTCAAAATATACCAAACAATAAGAATAGGCATAAGATTATAAATATGACCTTTAGACTTATTAACCCAAATACTAAAAATAGAAGAAATATCATCATGATGCTCAGAATTCTCAATTTGAGCAATGTCAAAGAAAAAATTCCAAACTTTATTAGCAATGTCTCCATTAACAAAGGTGTGCACCATATTCTCGATATTAGAGAAACACTGACTTTTAGACGTGATACTAAAGCCTCTTTTCATAAGAATAGTGTCAATCATAATAAAACCTTTCATACAACGCCAAACAAGAATAGAATAAGATAACGAAATATTATTGCGCCAAATAGCAGAGAAAATGACAGACTCACTATACTTAATACGAAAATTCTCCCAAGCATTTTTAAAACTAAAAAGACCCGAAGGAGAAGACTTAAATAAAATATGGTCATTGCACTGTAATTGTAAAGGCAATTCAACAAACATGCTCGTTAATTACCACGGGATGCAATCACTGAGTTTTTGAACATTCCAATTCCCATTCTCAAAGAATTCATACACCTTAGTATTAATCAAAGTAAAAGTATTCAAAAGATTATCAATGGAGACACAACCTAACCAATTGTCTTACCAGAAAGAGATATCCCCTTTACCCAAACACCATTGAATTAAGTGCTCTGCTTCCCACTTAATGTTGCAAAGCCTTTTCCAAATCATAGAGTCGGATCTTATATAAGTACAAGAATTTGTATAAAAACCTTTATAATACTTTGCATTAATAAATTGAGCCCAAAGACTCATGTTAGATCTGTTGAGTCTAGTAATTAGGATGTTAAGCCTAAGTTAAGAGAGAGATCAGATTTGGGTTGAGAATTTGATAGACTTGAGAACGCATTTTGATCAAAGATTTGATCAATTGTATGCTTCAAAACTTCTGAAGCAAGAACAGGACATTTAGTTACAGAAATGATTTCATCCGATCAAATACCAAAATGTTATGTTGATTGACCTCTACTTCAACCTATTTAAGTGGCATTCGTCTCCTCTTCAGAAAATAGGAGAATGAGAGATGATTTTCTTTATGTTGTTGTACTTTGTGTTTGTTTTAATTTTTGTTGTGTTACGTAATTTATTTTTAGTGTTTGTTTTAGTATGCTTTTTAATTAAAAGTTCAGTGTATTTTTTTTTGATATTTAGACAATGAACTGTAATTTCTTTTTCATATAATATTCAATATATGTTGTAGTTGATTTTATTTTTAAACTTTTTTGAATTGTTTTTTGAGTTTTATGAATTTTCATTAGTAATTTTTAATTCTTAATTGTGCTTAATTAGAATTGTGATTTTGAGATTATTACATTAGAATTACCTTTCTAAATTTAAAATTTATTTATAACTTGTCATTATTAAATTTTTTTAATCTCATGTCTATTCATTTAGACTACATAAAAGTTAATATTATTATTACAATTTAGATGTTTCTTATTTTGTATTTCCTTACTCAAGTGATATTTATGCACTTAGAAAAATTTGAAATTTTAGATTATTGATTTTGGAAAGAATTGGTTTCAATTACTCTTGACGAAATTGTACAAAGAGTACAAAAATCAAAGGAATGCGCAAATGTTCGCAAATATGAAAAAGAGGCATAAAATTAAAATAATGTCAAAAGATGCATAAAAATGTGCCAAAACAAAATTTTGAAAAAAGATGCGCAAAGTGCACATGTGGTTTTTCTCTCTTCTTTCCAAATTCTTTCAATCTCTTAATTCAAATTGATCTTATGTTCATATATATTCTATTGAACTTTGAAATATAGAATTTTTTATTTCTCTCTTGTAATGATTTTCTATATTCAATGTCCTAAATTGAATCATGTCTTATGATAAATTATTCTTACTTACAATGTTATATCACTTCTTAAATTCTATGAATTTCTATGATTTACTAATGTTAATAATCTTTTAGATTGCATACCTTATGTCAATAACTTTTCGATTAAATTCTCAAACTGAATTTCAATATAATTACTTCACATTTCTTGTCTTTTCTCTTCACTTTTTGTTGTTGTCAAAAAGGGGGAGAAATTATTAATGTTTGTATTTTCTTTTTTTGATATTGTTTCTTTTTGGCTTGTGTCTTGTTTGAATTTATTTTTTTTTTTTGTTAAAAAAAATTAAAAAAAAATTGTGTTCTTTGGTTCAAAATGCTCCTATATTTTCATGTATACATCAAATCAAGGGGAGTTTTATGAATTTGTTTAAATTGAAATCATACAAACAATATTGTTTTGCCATATCAAAAAAGGGGAGACTTGTTAAGTTAGTTGCTATTTACATCGCTTTATATTTTTGCAACTTATGTAGTTTTTGATGATTCCAAATATTATTGTTCAAAATATTAGTTATCTCCTAAAATTTTAGAAGATTTGTATTTCTCTTGTGTTGTACTACATTTCAGAAAATTAAACTCCAGACTGCGAAGACTTCAAATAAATTTCAGCATGAAATACTTTGTAAATTTGAAGCTTGTACTTTTCTTTGAATCAAAATTGAAAGGGAGGTATTGTATAATTTGAGTGAATAAAAACATAACACACACACATAAGGAATCATATATAATTTATACTGATTGTACGGATGATATCCATTCGTACAGGACGATCAGACATTATCTCCTATGAGCACATGGAACGAATAGGAACTGGCTTGAGAAATTTTTCTAAGTCCTATTCATCCAGGACGATTAATAATCGTACGGATGATTAGTTCTCTGTAAAATTTTGTCCAGACGAAATTAAATTATCGTTCACGACGATTGGTCATCTGTAAAATTTTCGTCCAGACGAAATTAATTATCGTACATGACGATTGGTCCTTGTAAAATTTTCGTCCAGACGAAATTAATTATCATCAGGACGATCTGTCTCTGTAAAATTTTTGTCCAAACAAAATTAATTATCGTACATGCGATTGATCCTCTGTAAAATTTTCGTCCAAAACAAAATTAAATTATTGTCTAGGATGATCTGGTCTCTGTAAAATTTTCGTCCAGACGAAATTAATTTTCGTACATGAAATTGTCTCTGTAAAATTTTCGTTCCAGACGAATAAATTTTCGTCCAGACGATTAACTGACTTAAGAACGGTTTCATGCAGTTTTCTAGAACCGGCCTTGTAATAACCGTTCGTAACCGGATGAATATTGTTCGTACATGACAATCATCTGTACAAGACATTTCGTACACATATACAAATAGTCATTTCAAATCGTTTAAGTAAAATCGTCCAGGCGATCCACGATCGTACGGACGATCCACGTACGGGACGATCCACTACGTATAGAATTGAAAACTTGCAGTTTTTGGGCGGTCTTTCTTTGTCTTTTGTTTATATAGTCCAATTAGACTGCCACCCAATCTTTTTGTCATTTGATCTTCGTGCCTTTTAAGAGAATAGCCAAGGAGAGAGTGTTAGAGTGCATTCAAAGGAGGATTTCTACCACTGGAGTGTGAAGCTTCACTTGGAGTTCAAAGGTAAGAAATCTCTACTTGTGAATTGGGATTACTTCACTCTTTCCTTCTCCTTCTAGATTTATTGTGAGAAAGATCTATCAAGGAGATCTGGTTCTCTGCCGACACTTGGAGAGTGTAAATAGCGAAGGGTTCGCTGCTACACTTGGGAGTGTGAATAGCCAAAGGGTCGCTGCTACACTTGGAGAGTGTGAATAGCCAAGGGTTCTCTGCCCACACTAGGAGAGTGTGAAAGGACGGACGATTCTCTGCCAACACTAGATTGTGTAAAAGGAGACGGTTCTTGCACACCTGGTTAGTGTGAAAAAGAGTGTGTTGTAAAGGCTTCTCCGCCTTGCTGTGGGTGGAAAAGGAGAGTCACTATTGGATTAGTGCAATACTCAGAGGTGCCTCTGGGAGTGGATGTAGTCTGGTTTTAGACCGAACCACTATAAATTTGGTGTCATTTACTTTACTGTTTTTCATTCCGCATTTAATTTTTTTTTTTAAAAAATCTGTGGTTGAAAAACATTTTCTATAAAACTTAAAAGAAATCAATTTTATTTTCGGTTCAACATATTTATTAAAAGAGGGCTTAAAATTTTAAACTACCAATTCACCCCCCCTCTTGGTAGCCTTGGGACAT